AAAGTAACAAGTTCCACCAGCCAAGGTTGGTTTGGTCGGCGATGGCTTGGCGGATGGAGGTTGGCAATCTGGGTGTTGGTGGTGAGTGGTGTCGCCTTGGTCCACCGGTTGAGGTGGAGGAATCTGTGTTCGGAGTCTGGGTGGGTGTGCCTCTTTCTTCATCCACTTGTTCAGCTCCGTCATCTGTTTCTTCCATTCCGCTGTAGCAGTGGTGGAGTCACAGAGTAGCACGTGGAGGGTGTCTTCATCTTCGAGCCGCATCGCGGACAGTTGCTGTGGTCTTGCCACTTTCTTCGAAGTTGCATCCGTCCGACCCCGATGAGTGGAAATCCACGTGAATTCCCATTGTGGTGCGAAGCAGCTGTGCTGGTTTAGCCAGGTGGAAGAATCGCTGTGACATCTTGTATACTCCAACAGTAGGGTCAGCAGTGCAGCCATCTGGCAATACAGAAATAGCTGAGGAACTCTATATACCCAAGGATGATGCAGTTCTTCAGCCAAGACCAATATAGAAAGTTAGCTTGCCAGCACCAGCCAAATGAGATGCAAGAGAGCCAAAGCTGCATGGCTGAGTGCTGTCGAGGATTTTGTGTTCAGTTGATTTTAGCATAGTTTAAAGAAGAAGAAGTATGAAAGGATAGTTGACCAGATACAGCTCAGTAGCACTAGTTTCCCCACAGTTGAAGCCTTCCTGTGTGGATTGTGCCAAGGCAAAGAGTGAGTTGTTCAATCATTGCTGTGGAGATTGAATAGCATTGGCAGCCAGCTTTGTGGCTGGCCCATTCCCACTGTCAAGAGGAGTGAGGCTCCAAGCAGAGCTCTCCACTCCAGCCAGCTCTTTGTGCATCTACCCTGACTGGATCTCATCGGATTAACATTGTCGCAGATTGCAAGCACAAGGAGTGGCTCTATAGTGTGGAAATCGAGTGAAGAAAGAGGAGGAGTTGGCTACGATCAACCAATCGGAAGGCTGACAAATCGACGACCGAAACTGGAATCGCGACCGATTGAACTCAAACCAAGTGGTCCACCTACTAACCTGAGGGTGCTTGAGACGATACACCAGTCAGTTCCTCGGTTAATAGCTCTACTTCAATCGGTGACACAGCATGAAGAGGAGAATCACGAAACAAGAAAATCGCGACAGGATCTTGCATCGACGAACTTATCTGCGACCGAGTGAGAGTGCAAACCAGAGTTGGTCCACATCAACTGAGGGTGCTCTACAGATAGCACGCAGTTCTTGTTAATGCTTAGTTTACGACAGCCGGCGAGTGATAGAGGAACTCATTGTCGACCTTCTCCATACGGATGCGAAACATCCAGTCGTGCCATGCGGACAGTCTACCTCGAAAGGGACGGTACTCACACGGCACTCAACAAGACAGAGCAACGCCGTACTCTTCCGAGTACGTACCTCGTTGCGAAAGCGGCCGGCCAAAGATCCGAGTCGCCTCACAATTTCGTGGATATTCGAACTCCGTTTGGTAAGATACGGATCGTCAATCCATGTTCGAGTGATTCCAAGGGTTAACTCGCAACCACCACGAGAGCACCGTACGGCCACTTCGAAGGAATCCAAGGGTAACAGTGTGTCAAGCAGCCTCTTTTTAGTCATTGACTAGCAGTGAAAGACCTCAAGTCTACATTTGGATTTACTTGGCAGGGTCTCCCAATCCTTCCAACACATCCAAACACACCACCTGCAACGACTCAAGAAGAACGGAGATGGACTGGCCTGGACCAGCGCCTTCATCAAACAGATCTGGAGCCTACACTTCAACCTTTGGACCAACCGAAATGAAGCCGTCCATGGCACTACCCTCACTCCCACCCAACTATCCCAACTGGACACTCTACGCGAACGGGTTCGACAACAGTACACCCAAGGCACCATAGGCCTCCTCCCCGTCGACCACTGGAGAGTCCACCCGGACACCAAAACCCACACCCTTACATTCACTATCGACAAGACGAAGCGATGGCTTGAATCTACCTCCCTGGCCCGAACAGAGTTCCAGAAGCAACTTGCTCCAGCGAATCGACAGCTCCAACGGCAACAGCAACTGATGATCACACATTTTAGTCTTAATCCGGATTAGGCCACTGCGCCCCCGGTCACTCCACGAGGAGGCATTCCCTGTGGTAGCGGAGAAACAAGGACCTGTCCCCTCTCGTTGGGGACGGAGGTGAAAGACGAGCGTAGACTAGTTAGCTAGTTACCATCGTGCTTCTATGAGGTACATCCTCTTGTTCCAATGAAACTGAATGCTATCCCCCTCGTGTCGTGCGAACACCCACATAAACGACTCAGTTGCTTGGGCCCTCGGGCTCGATTCGTACCAGCGTTGACAAAGGTCCTCCGGACCAGATAGGTAGTCTGCCTAAAACTAGTACTTTTTATATATCATTCATTCAATCGTTTGCACCTCTCCTCTATTGGCACTGATTCGATGGCCTAATAGTGAGGCTAGGAACTCCCACGGAGGCACCTCTGTGGTAATCCTGTTGGAATTTGTTATCCAACTCGGTGGCATGCAGTTGTATTGTTTCCTATTGGATTTGCTGTTCTTAAAGAGGCTTTAGTCCGTACATTCACTCACCGACTAACCAGCCTCCCTTTAGTCCGTGAACCAACATTTCGACTAAAGGCTTTAGTCCGTATGGCATTTAGTTGCTTGGGTAGACACCACCCCAAGAGACTAAACTATGGACTAAACTACAACTACTTTAGTCGCTCTGGTAGAGACCGGCATATAAGTTCCTAGGATGGTGCTTTTAAACCAGCTAAAGCTATTTACATGCATCTTAGTAGGGGGATCTGCTTCTACCAGGAAAAACTCTAAAGCCAGTGAAAGCTATATAACTAGTATTCTAGCTAGCTAGGGTATCTGCTTCTAGCTTGCTATGGGAATCTGCTTCTAGCTAGGGGGAATCTGCTTCTAGCTAGCTAAGCACAAGTTAAGCACTAGCTAATCACTAGAGGTATCTGCTTCTAGTTAGCAAGCTAATACATGTACGGGTATCTACTGAAACCTTTCTGCCGAGGTTACACAGCTCCGCTGGCTTAAATAGCCCACCTTTACTCGATCGAGTTCATGGCCATTCATTGGTACCGGTACGACTGTATGCTTAGTGCTATTAGTTTTGCCTGGTTAGACCATGAGTCCACAACCTCCACTATCGAGTACAACCATGCTGGGAAGGCTGGAAGCCAACATTATAGCAGAGTCAGCACTAATTGACAAAGCGAGTGGAAGAGTGTTTTGGGAGGGTGGCAGCAGCACGTTGTCGGGCAGCTTGAATCCGAAACTGGGAATCCCTGGCCTGGCCCACTTGAAATCTACCATATTGACGACCTTTTTGCTGGTAGCATTGTTGAGCTTTCTGGCACGATGGATTCGGTCAAAGTTGGAAACTCCAGGTACTCCGCTCTCAAATCCACCTCAAGGTGGGCCACACATCTACCAGACTGTTGGCCTCTGGCTGTTGCAATGGACGCTCCTTCGGACACCCGAGTTCAGTACCCAATTCGTCATTTTGATAGCGATACTGTACCTTGTGGAGGCGTACACCTGCAGCACCAGAAGATACCTCGCCAATTCCATCAGCAGTCCCAACGACGTGGAGGCATACATTGAACAACTTCGCAAAGAACCACCTGTAGTTACGTGGAAAGTGCGATGTTTCCACTATGAGAAACCGCTGCTGCTGTCTCCTCTTCGGTGTGCCCTGGCAGTCTGCAGTTTTCTCGTGGGAAGCAAAGCAAACACCTCCAAATCAAGCACCGATGACTTGCCCGTTCTCGAGAGAGAGCACGTTACAGGTCCATTTCGGAGAAAAGTCATCACCCACGAAGCCACTGAAAACTACACGTTTGACAGGTAAGCATGATCAACTGTCTTTATCCATACAGCTTTGCGTTGGGCTGAACCTTGATTGATGTGCTTTTGCCTTCCAGCTTTGTTGATGCCACCATTGCAGGGGTTTGGAAGAGACAAGATTCCTTTGAAACAGAGGTAGCACCTTTCACGAAGATCATTCTCTCAAAAATTCTGATACTTGCCAACGAAGATGCCAAAAAGGATTATTTCAAGCAACAATCCGCCTTCGTCTCGTCTCAAGGTATGCGCGACAGCTTGGCGGAGTACTCAACAACCATTGAGGGTAAGTAACGATCACTGGCATTGCCGGAAGAATGGTGGATTTCTCAACAACTAACTACGTTTGGTGTCGTCGTCGCGGTACTGGTAGTGCCTTCCTTCAAGCGCCGACTGTTAGCTATTCGTCCTGTGAAGGGCGTACCATCGGCCAAACTGTTCCGACTGAACACATTTTGGATATGCACATTTTTGGGATTGAGTCTTCCATATCGGATATGGTTCGCACGACGGTGCGATGCACTGAGAGTGACTGTAGTAAAGGAGACTTATTACGAAGAAGAGGCAAAAACATCCACATTTAGCACATGGTTTACGTCTGGGAAACCGGAGGCTCCAGTTCGATTGCCAGGTGCAAACAGAAATGCAGAAGCCTTTCGGCAGCAAATGGAGAATATGGCGCTCTATGCGAGGAGCGGAGAAAAACAAGCTACGCTACCCGTAATGAACACTTCCACGGTGCGTGCAGTGAACACAAACGGTACTCTCTCTTCTGAGAAAACTACGTCGAAGGCAGAGCAGGGATCATCTGTGGCCACCCCATTAGCACAAGAAAAGAATCAAGGCAACAATAGGCGGGAAAACTGAAGCTCTCTGGTAAGCAATAGAAGCATGGGAAACCAAGATGAAAGTTTAATCTAGCTTGACTGCCATTAGTCCACTTACTAGCCTTTTCGGCCAGCACGGCGACGTTTCGCGGGTGGATTCTCTGGCTTTCTTGCTGTTGTCGAATACGAGCGTTTCCCTGCATTCTTGCCATTGGTTTGTTTGGGTTTCGACGGTTCAGGATCACAGTTGAGACCGTTCAACGCGATTGCGACTCTTCCATTGTCCGAGACACTCAAAATATCCACTCCAACCTCCTGACCCACAAGGAGCGATGAGAGCGAGACAGGGCCCAACTTCGAGCGATGGAGAAGCCCGTCGTTCTCCCCACCAAAGTCCACAAAGGCTCCGAAATCAACCACATTCCGCACAGTAGCAACAATGCCTCGCAGGGGGCATGCCTTTCGCAGGGCCCCAATCGAGGTGCTGGTGCTGGATGGGAGCAGGCTGCAACCATCAACACTTCCCACATCAGTAGCTTTTGCCGCAGAGGCGACAGGCGAAGAACCAACAATGGACATGGTTCCTCCCAAGCGAGGGTCGGGGTTGGTGATAGAAGAGATCAAATGGCCAACAACGGAATCAACGCGATCCTGCGTCACACTGTACTTTACGGCTGCTTTCTCGATAAGGTCTCCCCACTTCTCACAGCGACCATGTTTCGTCTGAGGCAGATCAGCCTTGCGAATTGATGCTTTGTCAGCCAAATTCCATTTAAGCTTCTTCAACAGATACCGTGCAAGGGGGTATGACTCTGGATGCACCAAAGTGGCATCCAAAGGCTCGTCCCCGGCAACCTTGATGAAAGCGGCGCAATTCTCATAGGTTTTGGTTCCAATGCCTGACACTCGTTCCAGCATATCATTGCGAGCTCTAAGAGGACGGGCTTCAATGATTCGTTGAGCAAGCTTAGAGGTCAACCCAGGGATCTTCTCCAATATTTCAGCGCTACAAGAGTTCCCATCGACGCCCACTTCCGCGACCGCGTGGATTGAAGTAATTCGAAGCTTTTCGTCCAGCTCAGTTTCTTTCAAGTCATGTTGATACATTCCCAAACCCAACGAACGTGGTGGTATTTTCACAAGTTCTGGCAGAGGGTTCTGATATCGGCGTCCAATGGACACTGAAGCTATCGCGGCAGGTGCTTGGGATGGAAATTCACGGCTAGCTCCCTCCGTGACACTCCAGACGCTCGCCCCGGCTTCACTAACGAGTTGAATATCGATAGGTATGCCGCATTTATCCGATGCGTCTCGAACAAGCTGCCGAGCCTCTTGCGACCCGTGGCCATTTCCCAGAGCCACTGTCACAACTGGTGGTTTGGGCATCTTCCCGTTTGTCGTCTTGGCCGTGTTACCATGCTCGTTGTCTTGGGCGCTATAGAGTATTTGCAATAAGCTGATGAGGGTTTCTATGCCCTCCTTTCGATTCTGCAGGAACTTGACTGTCACTAACGATGTTTCTTCGTCTTGAAACAACAATTGGCCTGTGCTTTGAAGAAGGCATGCCTTGATGCCTGCGGCAAAACCAGGATCCAACGCTAAAAGAGGCTTTGGCGTGCTCAGCGGTGGTGCTAAGAGTGCCTTGAGTAGATTGACTCGGAAGACTTCCATGGATTTTTCCTCTGCATGGGTGCATTTGTCTTTCCAGAGACGACTGGTGATTCTCTTTCGTAACAGACGACTCCACGCATCTTTGGTTGCATCCGCCCATAATCCAGCAGCCTTGCCTTGCAGTTGCACACCTTCATCCAGAAGCGACCGTCGTATCCGAGATTCTGTACGTTCTGCATCGATATCATATGACAACTTGATTGCTTTATTGTTGACTCCCCGCCGAATGGCCAGCACCTGATGATCGCGAATATAGCCATAAGCAACCGAGAAGTCGTAATAAGTAGCGTACTTCTTGTCATTTTCAGACCTGGTCTTTGCATCGACATCTTTGCCTGGTGAGACCTTTGAAGCTTTCACCTTGGCAAAACGCTCCACATATTCCAATAGAGCATCTGTAGTGGGCGTGTGACTCGCAATTTTGTTGGCTAGAAGGGTAACGGCGGCCTCACGTGGGCGTAACTTCTTTTCCTGACTAGTTGTCTGTTGGCCTTGCCAAAAGGCATCCACTTCGGCCTTCAAGTGAGGATGTTCTTTGGCAATTCGATCTTCCAACGACCCTTTTGAAGGTGGTTTGAAGGGTGCGTAGAGATCTTCAAGCTCACTTTTGCTGATAGAACTCTGCACACGATGCTGCAGTTGTGTATCCTCCTGGATCTTATCGAGAATTTTTTTTCGCAGCGATTGCAAACTGTTCCAAGATGCGAACATTTCTGCCAGTTTGTGAACTTCCTTGGTTGAAAGTGGAGCAACAATGTCCGCTCGATACCGACACACAAACGGAACAGAGGCAGTGTCTTCCAACAGAGGCAAGGTTCGCTGCATGGCTTGAACTTTTCCAGAACCCACGAAACCATGGTCCGCAGACCAAGCCGTGGCCAGCTGATTCCAATTCACCATTCCTTCGGTCCTTGTGGCAAGGCTAGAAGAAAGCAGTAACCAAGTCCTTTTCATTTCATCTCACCCATTACTACTGTATGGTAGTGTTGCTCCAAGCTACAGCAGCCGGTAATAATAGAAGCGGTGGACAGCAAAATCTCATCAAAAAAATTGTCTTGTACCGTACTCTAGAGTACCGGTACCGTCCAATAAATCCATGAGATTTATCACCCCAAGTACTTTTCAAACTTTGTCATCGAACCCCGGAGTTGCTGGGGTAGCGGTAACTAGCGACATCTGTTCACTGGAAACGTGACGTATGGTGGCGTCCATGCCAATTTTAAAAATGCATTGGGCCCCGAAACTCTGGAGTACTAGTGCGTGGTAGTAGCTTGGTTTACTGGTACAATGTAATTAGGGCAGTGAGAAGGTCAGTCCCATACAGGAACAATGAGACATTTGGATGGGATTTCGACAAGTACGCACGTTCCGAGTCGCTCAGATGGCACAGAAGAAACTGCAATTATTAAGTGACGGTCTAACGGGGAGTCAAACAGATCCTCATAAACTGATTGGTTAGATACCATGGCTAGTTCCTTTTCACCATGGACTGAGTATTTCGTCAGAAGAAGGCGCAGTCGTACTGGCTGTGTGGCGCAGCTGCTGGTTTGTTCCCCCTGACATCATCAAGTTCAATCACCATTTGCGTTCGTACGTATTTATTTATGCTCGTGTTCCTTAGCAGCTGGATCGACTAATCTCGTTTAATGCTGTTCCTTGGCCAGCTTGGATTGACTTCAACAATTGCAGTTTTGTGTTTTTGAGTTGCATCACTACCGCCACATCAGCACAATAGCATCGCCTCCAGGGCTGTATGGGTCACCGGCGTCAATCCACTTTAAAGCATACCCTTTAAGCATAACAGTGTCCTTGTAAACAATCCAAGCAGCGTTAAAGATAACTACTGTTCGCTTTCTGAGGCTGCAACGAACAGCGCTTCAGCGCGGTGGCCCAGCTTCGAACAACCACGTTATCAACTCGTCTTTGAGTAGGAACTGGTAGTAATCCTACATCAGCAGATTACCCTAACAAGCAACCTCTTCGAGCATCCTTTCACTTGCAGTTGGAATAGAAGCAGCAAACGACAGGAGGACAATGCAGGATAGCAACAACAACGACAATATCAACCACCGATCTGCTCATCAGCAACAACACGATCGAAATCAACAGGAGCAACAACAGCAGCAACAACAGCAGCAACAACTGAACAGCATGCAATCATTGGCATCGTCTGTTAACAGCAACAACAGCAGCAACGACGGATTGGTCAAGCCAGGCGGTCTCCCAATTCCTCCGTTTGACGCGGCCAACACGATGAATTTTTTCCAGCAACAAGCGGCGGGCTCTTCGCGTAGTAGCGACACAGATATTGGTGCCATGGACGACGTTCAATTCAGTGCGTCTCTGGACGCTCTCTTGAATGGCGATCAACTGAGTAATCTCACAGCGGCGGCGCCAGGTCTAAACACTTCCGTGGTTCAAGGTCTGGCCGCTGGTGGGCTACAGAATCTCCCGTCTCTCCCCGTTGGCAATCCAAATATATCCATGGCACGCCCCACACAGCAGCAACAGCAGCAGCAACTACCCACACTACAGCAATCCGCAATTGGAAACACCCAGCAGTATTTTGTGATGGCTCCGGGGGCAGCTCCGGTGCCTCAAATCACGTTGACAACCGGCCAGCCTCAGCATCAATCAGCGCAGCAGCAGCAGCAGCAACAAGCCTTTACCACAGCGGCCGTCTCTCAGCTGGCCGGATTGCCTCTCGCATATGCCAATCAAGCGGCTCTGCAGCTGGTGCCTCCGGGGCCGCATAGTGCCGCTCAAATGTCGCTTTCCGCAGGCCATGCGGCAGCCACAGGAGCCTTTCACCCGGGAAATGCTACGGCGACGGCACCCCCCACGACGATGCCGGCTGGGATTCCACAGCAAATGGCGGCGGCGCCATTTCCTTGGGCGATCGCTACGAATGTCGCGGGACAGCAACCACAACAGCAGCAGGTCAACGCTCCAGTGTCATCTGCGACCACATCTTCCACGGCGACGGTGTCGACGGCAGCAACCATCAGCAGAGGAGGCAAACGACCTCGACCTGCTGCTGTTAGAGACGTTAGAGACATATCGGCAGTGTCGGAAGATGAAGGCGACCGGGAGAAGCGCAGACAAGACCGAAATATAAGAGAGCAGCAACGTTCCCACAGAATCACAGAGCAGATTGCACAACTCCGAGACGTTCTTTCTTCTGCCAATCTGCAATTCAAGCCAGACAAATATTCCACTCTCACAACGGTAGCAGAGTACATCACGCAGCTGCAAGATCGATCCAAGGTACTAGACGCCGAGCACAAGAAACTATTGGATACTATTACGGAAACAAATGAAATTGTCAACAACCAATACGTTCCGGCATACACGTCGGGCTCGGATTCTCCTCCTTCCATCTCCAATGATCTCATGGCAGGGGATGGTTCATCGTCTCTGGATGACGAATCAATGGTCTTTGTTCGTGGCATTGATTACAAGGTAGCTTTCAAGGGTTGTGGCATTCCCTTGGCTCTGTCCAGCATTGATGGAAGATTCCTCGACTGCAATGACACGTTTCTGGAATTGACGGGATATTCTCGCGGTGAACTGCTGCCCCTTGAGAAGCCTGGTGGACAGAATACTGTAAGGTTCTCGCCCGATCAGGATGAATCGCACAAGAAGAATCTCTCGCTCTTCAACTTGCTCAGCCGTGATGGCATGGAGCAGGTATTCATGGCAATGAGTGAGATGCTCAAGCAGCCAGGCAGCATTGGAACTTCCGCTTCCAAGCCAACGGAAGCGTCAAAGTTGGCCGACTTCTGGAGTGGGCCTGTCAAGCTGTGTCGACAGGATGATTTGCCCGTAAGTGAACAAAGTATATCGACGTTGCTTTGTGGACATGCCCCGCCTCACGAATGTTCTACTTCTTCTCGTCGTTGTTCGTCAGGTCAAACTCAATTGCACTCTCGTGCGAACCTCTCGCGGTCGTCCCAAATTCTTTAATTGCGCATTAACTGCGCTTGATGAAGAAGGCGACGATCAAACCACCATCACTTCTCAATCTCAGTCTGATGGAACCAAGGAAACAAACGCTCTCATCAACGAACAGCAGCAACAAGTTGCGACCGGTGCACCAGTAGCTGGACATGTGACATCTGCGCCTCATGTTGCCTGGGCGTCGGCTACCGCGGTATCAGACGCCCAAGCAACAGTGCCTCCTATGCCTGATACCGCACAGGCAATGTTGGCTCCTGTGACAGCTCCGGCGAATGATACTGCACCTATGCCAGCTCCTCCACTGCCGACTGCCCAGGGCCAAGAGAACCCTCCGCAAGAAGCTCAAGCGGTGGAAAGTGCAGGCGAAGAGGGAGGAACGTAGACTCTCAAGGCCAATTGGTGGTACCGTCCTCGTGGTGCTGGCCGAGTCCAAGACCCTTCGAGCCAGAACCTTCATTTCCTCGATTGCACACGCCAGTCACAACTCTTTCTGAAGTCTGAAGTCACGTCTTCAATCTACGATCATAACTCTGATGACACGACGCTGATACAGTTGATTTTGGCACTGTGATACGTATTTTCTTCAACTCCATTCAAGTCTATCAAGCAAGGAAAATCAGGATGCCTATCACTGTTTCATTTCATTTTCTCACATCACATACATCGTGGTAATAGCGGGAAAGACCGGAGCCATGATAGCACAGCAGACACGAAACAGTTGTCCACGTTTTGTATGCAGCATGAGACTGCAATAATATCTGTACGATGCAAGAGTTTGAGTACATGCTGAGGCAACAAAAGAAGTACTCCGTGCATCCTCGACGACTCCATTCTACAAGTGGAGTTTGTCCCGTAATCTTAATAAAAACATCATTTCACAAACCTGTTCAGTAGTCGTGTGCGTACCGGTATTCATGTCGGCGTGCACTTAGTTGAACGTCAGAAGGCAAGTAAGTTTGATCCCACCACAAGGGCGTTGAATGGCGCTCGATTGACCTACCGATATTTAAAAAAAAGACCAGCTGACTAGAGAATTCTGAGATTTAAAATTCTACCGGAGTGATTGACACATTGCTTACTTGCCAAACCTGCGTTTTCTGCCAAGAGCATAGCTCCTGAGGACGCCTATCAGGTCCTCCTTTTCTAGATCTGGCCAATGCTTCGACAGGAAGAAGAATTCCGTGTAGGCACATTGCCACAATAGAAAGTTGCTGAGTCTCTCTTCTCCGGATGTGCGGAGGAGGATGTCGGGGGCAGGACTGTTTCGTGTCAGCAAGCGAGATTCCACTTCCTGCTCGTTGATGTCGTTAATGGCCAAATCACCATCACGGCAAGCCTCTGCAAGGCTTTTACACACTCCAACGATCTCACCCCTGCTTCCATAACTCAAACATACATTGAGAAACAAGTTGCCTTGGCAGTGCTTTGTATCTTCCTCGAGCTGTTTGAGCTTTTCTTTTACGTGGTGTGGTATCTACGGGGATAGCGATGAGACAATGTAAGATTATGATCAAGGGAACCAAAAGCAGATTGGTAGTCACTTCCAAACCATGGCGCCTTACCGGGTCAGCATCGGTGGATAAAACTCGTACAACTATTTGAAGTTTCACGGATTCTTTCCTCAACTCTTCGCATTGTTGGCAAAAGATGGACATGAGGGCATCAATTTCTGCTTGAGACCGGTTCCAGTTTTCAGTCGAAAAGGCATAGACGGTGATTTCTCTGACGCACTCTTCGAGACACCAGTGAACCATATCTCTGAGCTTGTAACCACCATCCATATGCCCCCGAGAAACACTTTTGTATTTTGATTTTCCGTATCGTCGATTCCCATCCATAATGAAGGCAATGTGCTGGGGAAGTACATCCCGATCAACACCACTTTGGCGGTATCGACTGGGGTCTTTTAGCCTTCGCAATTGGGTCTGCTCCCGTCTTTCCTCCTCTGTAATGAGTACTGATTCCTCAGTAGAGGTAGATTGTAAAATGTTCATTTTGGTACAGTCTTTTTCATCTTGTTGGGAGTTCCAAGTGGAGGTGGTAAACAGGAGCAAGAGGACCAGGCTGGCAGCCCAAGCCTGCAGCATTCTCAGAGTTGCCAACTGGTGGCGCCAAACTCGAGTCATCCATGAAAAGGAGGATTGCACGATGCCAGCTTGCATACTGCTATTTTCATCGTCGCCTTTCTTTTTCTGCTCCCACCTTCTTCCCACGTAGAACCCAATAGCCAAACCCAGCACCAACGGCAGGATGCCACAGACCACTGTCATACCGTGCTTACTACGAGCAATGATCTTTACCCATCGGATAATTCGCCGGATAATGGTTGTTTCGTCAGGACAGGAAGCAGGGCAAAAACACCCATCACATACGGCCGAACGTTGATAACTCAAGTTTCCAATGGTGACAAAGTCATATCTGCCATCATCATCATCGTCGTCACCATCATGGTAACCTCCCTCCAGTGTTTCTGAACGGATGGCCGAGAGAACTGAAGATATTGCCGCCGGATCAAGAGGCACTGCCGAAGACAGCTTGGATATTCTCTTTAACATGGCTTTTAATTGATTAGGATAATAATGGCTGTAGACGTCTCTTGGTTGTGCTGTGGTACATGCATCCAAACCAGACTGAGGTGTGTGATGAGAGCCTCCTTGGTGTTGACGTCGTCATTGTGTGCAAAACGGCCGAAGAGGAAAGGTGCACGAAAAGAGGCCAAATAGTACAGTAGGGTTGAGGTTTTCGGGCTTGAAAAAGCATTCGAAATACTGTTGGTGTTTAGGGCTAAAGCTAAACGGTTTCGCAAATTGGATCTGTTCCACGATCCACGAGCTGTCCACGTCGGTGGCAGATGGATGCGTTGGAAGCAATGCTGCCAGCTGGATTCCACTTTTAGGTCAAGTGGAGCTACTAGACTATAGCAAGATCATGTCAATATGGGTCTATAGAGGTTGTAAACCTCCCCTCCAGACTAGGATCCAGGCAAAGGCAATGGCCCTGGTTATACCAGAGAGGCCTGCTGCATGTATCACAGACAGACCTACTTCCATCCAAATTTACCCGGGAGGGGAGGGAAGGAAATAAATTGTGTCGGAGCAGTGACTACGCAAACTTCTGGTTCAGAAAAAGTGGAACCTGATTTGTAGCCGCCCAAGCCACACAGATTAGTAGTCCTTCTAGCTAGTCATCAACACACATAGCACACCACCTGTGCACCCGAACTTCGGTCCACCACCTCATCCTTGGATGAGTGGCTCTCCCGGATTCGGTCCGTCAGTCTCCTTATATATGGTCCGCTCCCGTTAACTCATACTCTCGTTCTGTCTAGAATCTCTTACGATTCCCTTGTCTGGAAGGTGAGCGCATTCTCACTTTTACGGTCAAGTGAGAAGCTTACTAGAAACTACGGAAATATAATGCA